TTGTTGAATGTTATCTCATTTGAAAGTCATCATTCTCATTTTTAAGTTGCTTATTGCACATTTGATACCAGATTGCAAATTAATGCTTATCATCAAATAATATTATAATGTATTAATAAGTAGGAATCCGAAATGTAGCTCTAGAATGATGATATTTTCTATGTAGCTTGGTAGTAAACGCCAGCAGCTTTGCTTGAAAATTTCTATATACTTAAACCTTTTCTAATACGAAAATCTAAAGCTTTACTCAGTGTAGAGCAAAATTTTTTTTTAACTTATTGTCGTCTTCTTCAGTTTTTGCACCACCATTTATACATGCGAGAGTTTTCTGACAAATTATATCATTAGCATATTTTATTACAAAGTTTATATTGCAATTATGAATTTCGCAAATTTAGTGCTTATTTCGACTTCTACAGATGATTAAATTTTAATCTAAAGCAGTGTTTTTTAAACGTTTTACCCTCTCAACCACAATCATAGAGTTGTTATGAAAAAAGCGAAACAAAAAAAGAAATTCTTAAAGGAAAATAATATGATGATGAATTAATAATAAATGCACCTACATTATTATTAATAATTATTTTGTAATTAGAGTAGATATAGACAATCATAAACTAAGAAACTTAGTAGCTAAAATATTTCGCGAACCAACAGAAACTGTTTTTCGGCTCACAGTTTGGGAACCACTAATCTAAAACGACTATACCTGCTAATTTAAATTTTTAGTCCTTTTAAGTTTAATTATCTTCTTAATTCTTGAGATTTCTCGCATAACTTGTGTAATATATTTCTCCGCTTTTTATATTCATATAATAAGAAAGAAATGGGAAATTTTATAGGAATGCTAGTATAAGGCTCTGTAAGGAATAAAATTGTCAGATTGAATCGGGGCATCTTCTAAAGCAGCCCTTAAATATTTAAGTAACATAAAACTTATCTGCAAAAGATATACAGAGCATGAATACCATCTAAACCAAAAGGCCTAGAACTATAGTTTTAAAAGTAGACATTAGGTTATCTCATGATTCCTCATATTTTGTTTTGTCTAAACCAAGGATAAGGAAGATGAAAAACTAAAGGCCTAAAGAACGAAAATTGTGTCGAGGCCTCTAAACTGTCTTAATCGAACTCTGAGGATGCTGATATTCCATAAAGATGCACTTTGTTTACTGTGTTTTGCTATTTTGCACTTATGTCATACATTATTCTGTATGTACAGTATAATCCTTTTTAACAGACCGCAACGGGACTTCGTCCATTCCGGATAAGAAATTTTTTCGGATAACTGAATGTATATTTCTAGAAAATACTTGTTAATGATCTACGATGACATGTACAGAAATTGCAGCATACGAAGTCCGTTGGTCATGTTTTTAATATATGGACCACAATTAAATAAATAATGTCTAAAATCATGCAGATTATTTAAAATTAAAACATATAGATATTATTTTATATTTCCAAAAACAAAATTAAGCAATAATTTAAAATTATTCTATTTATTATCGTGCGAAAGTTATGAATTTCTTAGCATGACAGAAACAGAATTTCGAATCTCTGCCTGCTTAGACTGTTGTTACTGTAGTTTTAAAATACCAATGCGTATACAATAAGCTTTATAGCAACATTATATATATATAATGTTGTATCATCTTAAATTCACTTTCGAAATTTTCGAAATTGAACTTACTAACTATGGATTCACTCTTTTAAGATAATTCTACTAAAATTAATCTTAGGAGATAATATAATCAATATTTCTTTTGTAAATATATATATGTGATAAAAACAAACTTAGAAGTAAATGACTAGCAGAAATTTTGATGGCGTAGAAGTGTTGATCCATAAAGAATTAGGAAATTGTAGGTGAAGGCAGATTAAATCTTCATTTTTTATTTCAGCAAACATGTTGCGGCCACAAACAAATTGGCACATTAAATGGGCCTATTCCAAAAAGCTTATATTTTATATAAATTGCAGTAAGATAGAAGGAGCAGACAGACAGCAGTAGAGCTAGACCGAAGCGTTGAAGGCAAGTGAGTAATGTTCAGGAGAAATCTTAACTCAGACTGAGTTAGTTTTGGTTCTCAGTGCATTTTGATTGGATAGTTAATATTGCTGTAAAATTTCTATTGGCTGCTTGAGTTTTAGTTCCATTTACAACACCAGAATTATGTAAGAGTCATGTGTCATGGATAAATCTAGAAATGACGCAGTGTAGAGAGAGGTTACTATTTTTAGAATTCAGAAAGGAAATTTACGTTGCTAATTTAATCTTTTACATATTCTTTATTCTTCTTACATATATATACACACACACACACACATATATATATATATATATATATATATATATGTATGTGTGTGTGTGTAATATATGTAAGAATATATATATATAAATTATATTTGAGGACCTAAATTTTGGATTTAAATTTAAATCTAAAAAAGTGAGGTTATTTTGATATTGCCGGTTCATTGGCTGTTAAGAGAGGTTTTATAGCGGATGAATATTTGATATTAAGCTTCGAATTCCTGCATAACAAATACTTTAAGATCTGAGAATTTCTCTGACGTGTCTGAAGACTTCAAAATTCCTTTCCAATGAATTTATGAATTAATTATTTCCAATGAATAAGTTATTGTATTATTTGTTCAATTCTTGAAACCAGTGTTTAATCCCATGAGCAAATAATTTTGTTTAATAGTTTAGTCTTTTCAAAACTAAAATATTTTTATATGAGTAATATAGTAATATGGAATTATGCATGCAATTTAAAATAGTAAACTTGAGTCTATCTTTGAGTTAGCTTTAAGTGAAATTCCATTTGCAATCAACTCAACAATAGACTATATCATTTATCAATCTCAAAGACATCCTGCATCTTTTTAATACATCTCAAAAATATTTTAATAAAATTTAAGGAATAAACCTTCTGCAGCAATTTGTCACATGAATAAAAAAGTACTCTTATAAGTGCATTCTTTGATAAATATTTATGGAAGTATTTTTGCCGTTATTTTATGTCTCTTTTACAATATTTGATAAATTAAAAGCGAAATGTCTAAGATCCCAACCGGGGGGGGGGGAGAATTCCCTTTGCTATGCCTTTAAAAAAGAATCTAAGTAAATGTATAAGTATATTTAAAGTTTTGGAAGTAGGGAATGATTTTCTAGCAGTACTAAAAGGGATGCATTGGGCAAACATCAGGATAAGAATCACTAGACCTAGAATATTGTTCACTTACAGATTCGTAGGTACAACGCAATAAGTATCTTTTGAACAACTAATTGTAGATATATGTCTCTAAGAAATGAGTCATATAAAGTAGCTTTCAGAGAATAATAATCTTTTTATGTGATAAATATTAGTGAAAATACATAAGATTATAATTTCTATATGTGTCTTCTATAGAGAAAGATCCAGTTGAAAATTTGCTTCTTATCTATTTTTGCTTCCATAATCAGGATTCTGTAATATGCAAATTTGGCTTAGAAATATCTATTAAAGTTATACAGACTTAAGTAGCTTTTCTGGTAAAAAAATACTTATTTAAAAGCAACAACTTTAGGGACCATATAAAAAACTGATTCATTTTAGAGAATTTTACTACCTCTTAGTGAGGGAAACTGAAACTCATACATCTGAGTCAATGATTGTTTAGCATGAAAAATATCTTTTTTTGCATTTGCAAATATTTTACATTTGTACTTGAGTAGTTGTTAACATTATATGCGTATGATCTTCAATAATTATATTGCATGACATTTAAGTGAATTTTGATCCTATGATTTATTCTTATGTTTGTTGTTTTTGTTATTGTTGTTAATATGTTGTTTACGGAAACTATTAGCTAAATGAACGTTTTGCCTTACAAGACAAAGATAAACATTCTATTTTACATAATTTTAACTAATACGAAAATAATTATCGTAGTCTGAAAGGGTATCTTCTTGAAGCATTTTCTTAAATGGTAACATTTTTACACATATCGCTTTTTTACACATATTTTTCACTACGGACATTACATCATATTCTGAATTAATGGATACAATAATTAATCTGCGAATCATTGTTGATTACGTGAAGAAAATTCGGCCAACAGTTTGGAAAATTATAGTCATTAATAAAAGCAAAGTAAAAAACATCTCTGTTTACTTCTGTTAGCAGTGCATAGAAAGAAGCAACAAAATGTTTTCTGTTGACCATTTAAACGAGATAGAATCAAAAATAATGTAGTTATCTAATTCATAAAATTTAATGTAATCTCTCTCTCTATATATATTTATTCGTATATATATTCTGACCTCAGCGATAGCTATTGTCTATTGTAAAGTAAAATTCTAAGGATGCAATTGAAATTGTAAAAGTCTAACAAATAGTATATTATTCTCTATATACATATCAAAAATTAATCTTCATATAGTGAGAGAAAACTATCCTTCCAATACTTATCATTTCTGTTCTTTTCTTGAGCCTTTTAAAGGCTCGAAAGAACAGAAATTCATCTGTCTATGTCTGTCTAGTCAACATATTCATCTGTCTTCAACGATATTCCTTTAAATTAACTTCGTATTGGAATTTATTTTTACCTCTTTTTCTAAAATCTTAATATCAGCAATCTCCTCTTTAGCCAAAAATGTCTAAATAACCTCTTTAAAAAAAGGCTTTTGCTCCCTTTTTTCCGATAAAATTCAGTTTAATTGAATGCCAAGCAGATTCTTTAAACTACTAAAATTTAAACATGCAAATCTTTAAAAATCGAGAAGATGGGTTGAGCATTTCGCTATAGAAACTATAACTTCATAAACTCTTATGATATCAATAATATCTTATACAATATATTATCGTCAAACTATCAACACAAAAGGATTTCTAAGAAGTTGGAGAACTTTAAGAAATGTCTGCCATGCACAGACATAAAATGATATACCAAAACTTCCAAGAGTTTGAAATTAAATCTAATCAGAAACGAACATGATAAATATGCGAACTTACCTCCAGTCGGTTTCAAAGTTGAAATCTAATCAGGCGCGATTAGATCGCGTGCCGCTGTTATTGACCCCTAGTTTATATACTTCGAATATGACCACTCTGTGAAGTTTCTGATACCACTTCCACCTTAGCGTGGGTGCTACCCATTATACTATACTCACTGGTCTGCATCGGAAGTCAAGGACCACAGAATACTTGCAGGAACCCCGCTCGGAATTAACATGACCAGCGATATGTGACTAAGAAATGGGTGGGGAAGATGTCAGACACGGTTACGCGAGAACTGCAAACCAACCGGCAAGTATTACTGCTTTCATATTTTCATATGAAATGTAAAAAATTGCAGATTTTATTTTATCCGCAAATAATGCATATCAAGGAAATTTATATACATATTGCTAGCATTCTGAAGATTCTGAATGCAAGTAAATAAACTATCTGGTACAAGTACAGAAGTTGTGAAATGCACCAACTGAAAAGCAAAATCTAAGCTCTGCTAATGTATTGAGATAATTATGGAATCTGTGGCAAATGAAAACGGCAGAGAAAGTATAATACTTTTGCAGTCAGATCTGCTGTTTGAATAATAATCGCGAAATTTACAATTCACTGTATCTTAACTAAAAGAGATAAAATAGAAAATTAAAGAATTCCATAACTGTAGATAATATGAAACCGAACAATAAAAATCTTACATCTGTCTTAATAGTCTTAATATAAGTCAACTATATTTGTAGACTGATTAAACATCTAGGAAAGGAATAAACATCTAGGAAAGGAATAAACATCTAGGAAAGGAATAAACGTGAAAAATGATAGTGATCTCGCCAAGACTGAACTCCAGACTTTTCGACTGCTAGACGGATGTACTTCCAACTATACAACAAAGGCACTCGATAAAAATGAAAAAATATCCATTACATTCTCCCCCACTTAAAAGCATTACATTCTCCCTCGCTCAAAAAAAGAGAAACTAGTCGCCATATCCAGGAGATGACGAATGGATACTTTTGTCCAGGCGCCGTTTCAATAGTCTTTTACAATTTTTTAAAGCTAGGAACACGAAGAAATCCGCAGTGCCCTTCCCGAGGTAAGAACTCTGACCCCCCAACTGCCAGCCGGATGCGCTTCCTGTTACTTCCTAAACGCATGAGGTAAGGAGGAAAAAATATCTTGGATTTCGCTCCGCTTTCCAACCGGGGAAGGCAATCGGAGAGATGAGAACTCAGTCCCCAATCCTTGTGGTGACGAATTATCCTTGACCACATTTTAGTTCGGATGCCATTCTATAATCATTAGATTTGTCGGAGCAGGAAATAGGAAAAGTTTTCAATGCCCTCGTCGGGATTCGAACTCCGAACCTCCCGACTGCTGGCCAGACGTGCTTCCAATTTCACTACGAAGGCACGCGATAAAAAAGGAAAAAAAAATCCTTTACAAATTTTTCTTTAGCAATAATTTAATATTTTAACTAAACAGGGAAGGAAAAAGATTTGTTAAAATATTAAATAGGAACTTGCACTAAATAATGTGAAGCTACTACAAATATCGTGCATTTATTTTCGATGTATCGATTTGATATTTTAGTAAATTCTAGGTTAAATCTAATGTCAGTATATCATGTTTGAAAACTGAATTTTCCATTTTATACGTACAGTGGTACCTCAGTATACGATTTCCTTCCTAGAGAGCTCGTAAGCCAATTTATTGTTATCCTGAAACAATTCTTCCATTGAAGTATGTTTAAATACCATTAATCCGTTCCCTTCACCAAATAAACTTCTAAATTTGTGTTTTATGGTTTTAAATGATAAAAAATGTGCTGCATTATATTGAAAATAAATAAAAAAAACTTTAAAAACATACTTCAAACGTATATAAAAGAATATAAATCAATAAATTGGTTTTATAAAATTTAATTCCCGTACTCTGCTTGTGTAACATTTTACCTTCATTACCCCTTCTTTTGTTTTGGCCGATTTCTCCATCACTTGCTCATTGTCGTTCAAAGTGCGTTTCAACAGAAAACTTGTCCATTTCATCTTCACAAAAGGGTTCTGAAATGTGTTAAACAAGTATAGCGTAGTTGCAGAACATGTTGCAGTTTCTTGTCAAATCTTGCGCCTACAGCTACAAGCCGGATTCAAGGCTTCTAGGTGTAAGTGTATATTGCTTTTTCAATGTGCTCGGGAACTTCCTCTCAGTTTCCCAGAATATTCTTAATTTCAACTAACGAGATACGCTTCTCTCTACTACCTTCTCCTTGTTATTTTTCTCCAAAACCTTTTTGTACTCCTCGATTTGTAGTTCATTCAACCACTTGGTCGTAAGTTCCTCCTAGTGCTTCTCAGCAAGTCCGTTTACTTCTCCCTTATTCATCTCCAGCCTCGGGTTTAAAACCTTTAAAATATTCTCGGACCATATATTTTTGAAGATTTCAAAGCATTTCTGGACTTTAGGTCATAGCTTCTTCGAAAGTTCAAGATCATCCTCGAAACACCCTGCCATGCCCTTGTCGACATTTCTTAAGTTTATTGCAAAATTATAATGGTCCTTCCAAAACAGCGAATGGTAAGTTTGGTGCTCTCCGTCACATTAAAGTAGCGGCGAAACAGGTGTTTGATGAAAAGACATTTAAAATTTGAAATCTACTAATGGCCAATGGGCTGCAGGATAGGAGTGGTAGTGAGTGAAAGGTAGAACTTGAACGTTTCGAGGATATCGTCTTCGCCGGTGGGTACATAGGAGCTTTGTCGATTACGAGAATTGCTTGTAGATGTAGGTTACTTTCTTCGAAATTTTTTTAACACCAGGACCAATGATTAGGTTTGTTAATTCTACAAGAAATCCCTGGTAACCCATGCTTTCAAATTTTCCTTACACATAACCTCGAGTTTTTTTTTTTTTTTTTTTTTTCATTTATAATTTTATGAGCATTAAATCTTCTGGTGTTTTTTGAATGCTCACATTCTTCTTTGGCAGGATCATTCATCCTTTGGCAGTTTTCATATTACACCTTTTGGCAGGATGGATGATGGTATTCAACCCAAAGAAGATCTTTTAGCCTAGAATTCTAAAAGAAAATGTGCATATGAACCTTCTCATCTCCAACTGCACAATGGTAAAAATTACAGCTGCTAAATCGTTGTTGACAGGAAGTTAAAATGTATGTAAACGGATGATATTTGGCGAAGCAACGCTAGTTTGTGACCTCTTTTATGCTTTCCTAGCTCCAAATAATCAGTTTACAGAATGAAAGTATAATAAATTAATAGATAGATACAGAATTTTAGTTTTTACATATATCTTCATGTGTTGGCTCATTCATTACATTTATTATTTATGGACATCAAGATGGTTACTTTCAGCCATTGTTTGCTCCGGCTTTTACAAAAGTTAATGAAATAGGTACGTGTTGTCAAAGGTTTTAATGGAAAATTTTTCGTTTTTAATGTTGTGAAACGAACAAACGTGAACGTGTTGTGAAATAGGCATATATGAAAGCTAAATAAAAAGGAAACAAAGGTCTTTAAAAGTTGCAGTAGGAGCATAAGAATTCTATTAAGAGTCATATTATAAAATACTACCTCATATAGTACTGATGTACGTTTAAATCCAACAACGAAATTTCATATAATAATCAATGCATTTAGCACTAATTAATTATATAGTATAGATGAGATGCAGCATAAAAAATATCAAAATATTTTTAACTTAAAACGCTTTCAGGTATTAAACTAAAATCTAAATAAAAAAGATCAGACTGCGGTTTTTTCCACACAATTTATAATTTCTTTATTTTTTCTATAATTTGAATAGTAAAGTCTTCTTTGAGTGCTAAATTACAATATGCATTTCTCAAATTTTAATTTTTCCTTTATTTCACATTTTTTTAAGTTTCAGACGGAAAAATTACTACTTTGAAATGCATGTGGATTTAGTAAGAGATGTGGGTAATATGCAATATTTAATAATGGCTGCAAACTTTTCTTTGCCAGCACAAATTAACAAAATCCACTTAAATGAATTTTCTTCAAGTGATTTATCTGATTACAAATTTATACTTCCAGCTATAAATTCACTGGAAAGTTTAAATTCAATTAGAAGGGATACTGACTGCATTTGAGTGCAACTGGTACTTCTTGAAATTCAGAATTTTATTTAGAAAAACTTTTGATGAAATAGTATTCAAAGCACATTTGTTTCCTTCTTTATATGATTTTATCCAGATAGAAATTCTAAAGAGAATTAAGTTGTTGTTCTCAATCTTAGATTTCCGAAATTTCAGTTTAATTTCGAATGATGTATTCTTAGAAGCATCCTATATTAATTATTATTGATCTTAAAGGAAGCATGGTAAATCATCCAAGCAATTCTCATTTACAAGTTCAGAGTCGCAGGCACTCACCTTTTTTTCATTTTTGGTTGAATAAAGCAAGGCGCCAGTTAGACATCCCTGCATTCGATCAAAATTTGTAAAATACGGAAGTGGCAATATTTTCGTGACGTGTTTCAATGCTAAATGAAGAGAGGATTTTCACAAAAGTGTTGGGAAGAGAGATCAGGAAATACATCATTAAATCTTTATTCATCATCATACACCAAATGGCTTTCATCTTATTGGTCGAAGATTTTATCAAGACAATGACTGCAAACATTCCTCAGATTTCTATTGCAATTAGCTGGCAAAAAGAGGAGTAAAAGACATATTTTACGAACACTTACTCTGCCAACCACAGGTTCTTTCAATTTAATTCCAATAAAACTTGGAAATTTTACAGAGGTATCTCAAAATCACATTGTCTCAAAAGATATACTTTAGAAATAAAAATTTACAAATGTGGAAAAAACTTCCCAAAACATTTTAAGCAAAATTAGTTTCTTTCATGCCAAAGGGATTAACAGCTCAGATTGCAAAAAAAAAGATAATAATAATAATAATTTCGTGCGACATATTCATTTTTCTACTATTTTGTGTTGATAGTTGAACATTGTATTTGTTCATTAGGTGAAACGAATAACGGCACATATCCCTAACTGTAATTTATGAATTACAAGAAATGCAAAAGGTGAGATTGTTCTAATATTTTTGCACTCTTCCTAAATATAAACTAAATATCTGCATAATTC